TTAATAAATATTAGGTTTATTTTATTATTTATTATTGTGTGCATAAATATACCACAATCTATACAAAATTAAAGGATACACATCATATAGTAATCAAATAAATTGTTTGATCCTTTTTATTTTTATTATTGAATTAGCTTGAACTTACTACTATTGATGATTTTCTTGAGTTTACTGGAAAAAATTCATGAGCTCCATAGTACTAGAAAAAATATTAAGAATTCATCATTTATGTGGTATAACGTTATCTAGGGATGGGATATTTATAGAAAAGGTATTACTTGGCTGCCCCACAAATTATCAAAACTCAGTGTTCGGAATAATCGTTGGATCCATCAATCCCCACCGTTACGCCAATGCATGTCACGACCCGGATTTCCCACCGTCGGGAGTCGTGATGGCGCCTACTATTAGGAGCTAGGCAAGCCAATTAATTATTAACCTTTTAGGCAAACATCGACAATATTAAGGCAATGAGACATTTAATATAAAAGCGGAAGTTCTAAATATAAATAAACTGAAAACAAGTGCGGAAATTCAATTACAACCTCTACCCAAGACTGGAGTCACTAACTCACGAACATCTATAGAATGCTAAACACAAGGTCTGAATAAAACACAATACTGTTTGTTCCGGTACAAGGATAAAAAACGATTGACAAAGATAGAAGAGACTCCGGGCCATGCGGACGCCAGCAAGGCTACCTCGAAATCTCTAGACTGAATTCAGCTCCCAATCAACTACTGCTGTCCAAAGCTGCTCCGGCTCCGTGATCTGTGCAAAAAGATGCACAGAGTGTGGCATCAGCACAACCGACCCCATGTGCTGGTAAGTGCCTAGCCTAACCTCGGCGAAGTAGTGACGAGGCTAGGACCAGACTACCCGATAAACCTGTGCAGATATATATATATACAAGTACAACAAAATAATAGCAGAAAGTAAGCAATTAAAGCTGAGAGGGGGAACATGCTTATGGGGAAGCAGATAAACGAAATATCAGGAAGAATAAGAGAAACTACATCTGATTTCTTCTAACACAGAATAAAGGGAAACAAACCACTTTTACTTATTTCAATTTCCTCTCATTGCAGGCGTGCAACCTGATCCCATTTCCTTACATCACATGGTAGGCGTACCACACGCTCCCATTACAATAATATCACATGGTCGGAGTGCCACACGTTCCCATTTCATAATAACTCGTGGTCGGCGTGCCACACGATCCCATTTCATAATATCTCGTGGTCGGCGTGCCACACGATCCCATTTCATAATATCTCGTGGTCGGCGTGGCACACGATCCCATTTCATAATATCTCGTGGTCGGCGTGCCACATGATCCCATTTCATAATATCTCGTGGTCGGCGTGCCACACGGTCCCATTTCATAATATCTCGTGGTCGGCGTGCCACACGATCCCATTTCNAGAAATTAAATGAGCTTGGTTATAGCCGGATCTCCCTTGCCGGTATAGTTTATTGTATTACATTGCTCCCTTGCCGGGATAGTTATTATAACATCTTTCTCCCTTGCCGGGATAGTTATTATAACATCTTTCTCCCTTGCCAGGATTATGTTGTGTATTGTGTTGAAAGAAATGGGATCGTGTGGCACGCCGACCATGAGTTATTATGAAATGGGATCGTGTGGCACGCCGACCACGAGTTATTATGAAATGGGATCGTGTGGCACGCCGACCACGAGATATTATGAAATGGGATCGTGTGGCACGCCGACCACGAGATATTATGAAATGGGATCGTGTGGCATGCCGACCACGAGTTATTATTAAATGGGAACGTGTGGCACGCCGACCACGTGATATTATTGTAATGGGAGCGTGTGGTACGCCTACCACGTGATGTAAGGAAATGGGATCGTGTTGCACGCCTGCAATGAGAGGAAATTGAAATAAGTGAAAGTGGTTTGTTTTATGGGGAAACAGATAAAACAGAATATCAGGAATAACAAAAGAAACTACATCTGATTTCTTCTAACACAGAATAAAGGAAAACAAACCACTTTCACTTATTTCAATTTCCTCACATTGCAGGCGTGCAACACGATCCCATTTCCTTACATCACGCGGTAGGCGTACCACACGCTCCCATTACAATAATATCACGTGGTCAGCGTGCCACACGTTCTCATTTAATAATAACTCGTGGTCGGCGTGCCACACGATCCCATTTCATAATATCTCGTGGTCGGCGTGCCACATGATCCCATTTCATAATATCTCGTGGTCGGCGTGCCACACGGTCCCATTTCATAATATCTCGTGGTCGGCGTGCCACACGATCCCATTTCATAATATCTCGCAGTCGGCGTACCACACGATCCCATTTCATTCAACAAAATACACAACATAATCCCGGCAAGGGAGAAAGATGTTATAATAACTATCCCGGTAAGGGAGAAAGATGTTATAATAACTATCCCGGCACGGGAGATCCAGCTATAACCAAACTCATTCAATTTCTATTTAACAAAATTAAATCAAATGTCCTGGCAAGGGGGAAACATCTATAACCGCACTGGTCCCAACATCTAACTACCACAACAATAATCAAACCAGTTACGACACCTATCTACCACAACTATAATCAAATTTGTTACTACACCTAACTACCTCAGCTATAACCAACCTATTTCAACACTTAACTACCTCAGCTATAACCAACCTATGACAACACTTATCAACCTCAGCTATAACTATAGTCATCACTCAACGCAAGGAAGCATTAACCTAAGCGTCCGTAATTTCAATTAAGAACACAGTACAAGGGAACCACAACTCAACAATAGCCCGCCAAGGGGGGGCAACATGACGATCTCTTCTCTTTCTCACTTTTACTTCACAATTCTCTTCACAACTCGAGCCAATGCTCTAGAGGTTCAATTATCACTTATACTTTCGCAATTCGTTCTACGACTGGAGCCAACGCTCCTTAATATTCATAAGCCACGATTCCTTCCTCAACTTTGCACAACAAATAGAAATACTTGCCAAGGCATGAATAATACAACGAAGTCATGAAAATCACAATATAGGACTCACGGTCATGCTAGACACCAATGTATAGATACTCGTCACCATGCCTATACATCGTACTCGACAATTAGCAAGTAGCAAATAAGACTGAACTCCTATTCCCTCAAGCTAAGGTTAGACCAAACACTTACCTCAAATGCTCCAAACTCAACTCAAGCCTCTAGTATAGCTTTACCCTTCTAATTCACCACCAAACCACTCGAATCTAGTCACAAATTACTTGAATGTATCAACAAATGCTAATCGAATCAATTTGAATGCATGAAAATGAATTTCCCAAAGTTTTACTCAAAAATTCCCAAAACGCCCCCGGGCCCACGTGGTCAAAACCCGAGGTTCGAACCAAAACCCGGTTACCCATTCCCCCACGAGTTCATATCTATGATTAGTTTTGAAATCGGACCTCAAATTGAGGTCCAAATCCCCAATTTTAAGAAAACCTAAGTTCTACCCAGAATCCCCATTTTCACCCATGAAAATCCTTGATTTTAAGATGAAAACATGTTTAATGATGTTAAAGATTGAAGAAGTTTAAGTAAAAATTGACTTACAAATGATTTGGAGAAGATAAGTTTCTTGGAAAATCGCCTATGGAGTGTTTGAGTTTGAAAGGATGAAGAAATGGGTTGAAAATTCGTCTAAGTATGAAAAATGCAGGCCTCAGATGTGGGAAATGCGAACATGGGTTCGCAATTGCGAACCCAGCAGGTTTGGGAATTGCGAGATTTTTATTCGCATTTGCGAACTCTAAAGAATGCTGGGAAGTTCGCATTTGCGAAAACTACGTCGCATTTGCGAAGGCCTAATATCGCATTTGCGGACAATTGTTCGCATTTGCGAAGACTGGGCTTATAGGCAGGCATCGCATTTGCGATGAGTTTCTTCGCATTTGCGAAGATTGCTGCCCCAGGTGGAAGATCGCATTTGCGATGAGAAGCTCGCAATTGCGAGTTCGCATTTGCGAATGCTGGCTTCGCAAATGCGAAGCCTGCAGAACTAAAAGATACCAGATTTTCAAAGGTTCAAAATGCAACTCGACATCTATCCAAAACTCACCCGAGCCCTCGGTGCTCCAAACCAATTATGCACACAACCTCAAAATATCCTACGGATTTATCCGTGCGATCAAATCGCCAAATAACATTATATACATCGAATCACGCCTCAAAACTCATGTTTTTCTTTGAAATGTTCATAAAGCATCAAATTTCCATTTTGAGTCCGAAACACGTCAAACGACGTCCGTTTTCAACCAAATTTTACAGAAAGCGCTTAAACCATATATAAGACTTGTACCGGACGTCGGAACCAAAATACGAGCCCGATACCACATTCTTTTAATCAATTTTCATTTCCAATTTCCTTAATAATTTCAGAAAAATAATTTCACAGAAAAATTCATTTCCCGGGCTCTAGACCTCGGAATTCGACTCCGGGCATATGCCCGAGTCCCATATTTTCCTACGGACCCTCCGGGACCGTCAAATCACGAGTCCGGATCCATTTACTCAAATGTTGACCAAAGTCAACTTTAATCATATTAATATCAACATTCATAAATTTTTACACAGAATTCATATTTAAGCTTTCCGGCTACGCGCTCGGACTGCGCATGCAAATCGAGGCAAGTAAAAATAAGGTTTTCAAGGCCTCGGAAGAACGGAACGAAAGGGAAAATGGGTGATGACCCTTTGGGTCGTCACATTATCTATGGTCCCCTAACCCAGCTTGATAATATTCTAGCCATTAAGGATATCTAGATTAACAATCAGTGGGACTTATCAAAAATTTCCATGGAGCTTCAACCTTTCTTGATTAACAAAATAAAAGCCACCACTCCCAACTCTAATAATTGTGACACTCCTATTTGGTCACTAACCACTAATGGTCACTTTACTAGCAAGTCGTGCTACAATCTATTAGACACTCAATCAAACGAAGCTATGGATTTTGCTTGGGTTTGGGAGCTGAGTTGTCCCAACAAAATAAAATTCTTGATATGGAAACGCTACCATGACAGACTTCCTACTAGAAGCTACTTAAACCACATTGGTATAAACATTGACCCTACTTTCACCTTCTATAAGAGTCATAAGGAAACCATTACCAACATATTCATGCACTGCACGGCCGTAAGAGATTTTAGGCTACACTTAGGCATAGACATGGAAAGCTGAAATATAATCAGTAATTGGTTGACAAACATTCACGATCATAATTGTTTACTAACAAAGGGCATCATTAATTGAAAAGAAATGTTTCCCTTTGCTATATGGACTATTTGGGTCAATAAAAATAATAACTTATTTAATAACACCACAAACAAAGCCTTCATGCAGTATGCTCACAAGCAAGCAGTGGAATATAAACTCCTCACTAACAAGGAAGCTACGCCACTATAAAAAATTCTCATCTCAGTAAAATGGCTTAAAGCAACTTGTAACCATATTAAGCTTAACATTGATGGCTCCTTTAAAGAAGGAACATCTCGCTGTGGCTTTGGTGGCCTATTCAGGGACAATAAGGGCAAATGGGTGCTTGGCTTCCAAGGGTCTCTATCTGGCCTATCACCCTTGCATGCTGAGTTGAGGGCACTAAAGACGGGCCTACATCTTGCAATGGAACAAGGTTCCACTTACTTAGAAGTGGAATCAGATTCGATGGATGTCATTAACTGCTTAGAGAATGGTAACACAACACTTATCAACATTATTCATGAATGCAGGTTATTGATGAACCAGGTGAGATTTCAAACAATTCAGCACAACTTTATAGAGGCCAACAAACCAGCACACAAGCTGGCTAAGCATGCTGTTCATGTAAACAATTGCAGGGATCTCGAAATTATGCATTATCCACCATCTTTTGTAACCGATGTCTTATCCTCTGACTATGAAGGTTCTATCTACCTAGCTAAAAACATTAGCAAAGATGCATCCACTAAGCTTGCATCATTTGGAAATAAAAATGTCATGCGTGACATTAGTATTTAATGTAATAGCCAAGTACGTAATGTCCCTTTGGACAATGCTAACTATGTAAACTCTATTTTGTGAATTATATATAATAGATTGATCACTTCCAACTACGCCTTATAAAAAGGGCTAAGCGGTCACTGTAAATATAATCCGGTTCAAAAGTCCGGAGTCGAATACCATAGGGAACTAACCTATTTACTACACTTTTAGTAACGCTAATGATAAACTCAGACAAATTTCAGATGCAAGATTTTATTTGATAATTAACAGAAATTATTTAAATAAGGAAAGATGACAATAAAAGCTGTCAATAAGCAATAATGAAGTTGAATTCAGTGGTAAAGGGATCTAGGGTTATTGATTTCCCCAATTGTCGGATTAATTCCTGATACGTTAGCTATAATCTCGCCGTAACACTCTATAAAGATGATGAGTTCTTGTTTATCGTAATTATATCTCGATCAATTACGATAATTTACTAGAAACATTCTCTTGAACTACTCTATTTTACAATTTGTACAACTCATAAATATCACACCAAAGCTTCTTTATTTCTAACCCCGCTTTTAAATTCAAGTAATTAATCTCTTAACTTACCCAAAAGTGACGTTGTTCAACAATAATCTAATCAAGTGTTCTTTCTCAAGAAACACAAGATAACTAGACACGATTAATCAAGGCCCTTTTAATTAATCACAAGACAATACATAGTTGAACAATTATAGAGTAAAAATGGCTCAATTATATTAAAACTTAATCAAGACTTCATCCAACAATTGGTTCCATCAACCCTAGATTACGGGTTTAGCTACTCATACTACTAGACAAGATTACAATATAAAAAGTCATAATCAAATAAGAAGAAGATGATGAAAAACTCGTAGATGATTCTCCGTCTTGCTCTTTTTAACTCCAAAGTTCTTCAAAAAACAAGTATCCCCTCTTTTTGGGCGAGTCAGGATTCATATAGGTCAAGGTCAGTCGCCTTTTTAATTACAAAATTGGCCTTGGACTATTTTTCCTCGGTAGCACGTGCGCGGCCGTGGATCAACCGCGGATTGACTGCGTATTTTGACCAGTGTTGTGCCTGACATGCGCGGCCAGTGCGTGGCCGTGCATTGACATTGGAGGAGTTCTGCCTTCGTTTTTTTTCTTTCTTCTTTTTACGCACACTAACCTCCAATTGGCCTTCAATGCTCCATATTAACTCCAAAACACTCTTTAACGTCCTCATAGCCCGGAATTGCTCCTGCAAAGCATAAAGTTCTTAATTAGAGCAATTTGTTATCATTTAACATTCAAATATCAATAAAGTGCAGCTAAGCTAGAGCGTAAATGGTAGTTAAACTACATAATTATAGCATACTATCAACACCCCACACTTAAACCATTGCTCGTCCCCGAGCAATCAAACCACACTCTACAGAGGCCTAACTTCACTAAGCGACTTTTCTAACTCGTCACACCAAGAATATTTCACATAAATTGAGCACAGTAGTGTAACATCTTCACTTCAAGAGTTGTCTCCCACGGGCCATGCATTATTCCTAACTTACTCACTTACTCTAACGCGGAGGTCAAGACTTACCTTTCCTTCATGAATCAAGTGCCTGCTCACGACAAAAGAGACTCATTCCACAATCAAATAAAATTCACGCACAATAAGGAACTTCAAAATAGATAGAATTCACTCACCCTTAGAAACGATATTCTTGTGCCACAAAAGATGCTCCATAGGCTTGACCATAGTGTACTACTACTAATCGAGCTCATTCAGTCTAGGATCAAGTAGGACTTTATTTGGTTGTAATGTAGGTTGCGGGTCGGGTAGAATATATTTGGATATAAGAGTGACTACGCCTCCCTAAGCACTTTAATACATATACTTTAACATTCAAGTCCATACTTATGTCAAACCAACACTCCACCTTCAACACCACGTATATCACCCCATACTTCTTTAAGCACAAATACATTAAAAGCCACCAAAGGGATATTATTCAGCACAATCCTACTACAATTTTTAAAAAAAGTTTTCCAATTCAAGTGGCTTTTTCAACACAGTGTGCCTTTCTCCTTATTTCATTAGTTCCACTCAAAAGCCCCACCAACCACCCCACACTTTAACCTTTACAAGTTCATAGCAATTCAAGTGCTCACGAGAGGTGCAAGGATTCACATAGATGGTTAATTCAAACAAAGGGTAAGGCTTGTAATGTGGTTGCCAAAGAAACAGAATTACAGGCTCAACGGGGTTAACTACGATACATAACAATTCGACAGGTGGAATATATATATATATAAATGGCTCAACAAAGAAACGCCTATATCACTTCCAAGACTGAACAAGACTACTATTTCGCTTTGCAAACACACGGGGCAAGTTCTAGACATCAAATGCAGTGCACAGAATACAACAAGCCTCACACACACATGGCACATGACTCACTCTAGATTGGATCATCAAAACACTCTAGTGAGGGTACTTATGCCAAATTAAGAACATACAATTTAAGGCACTCTTACAAGAATCAACAATAGAACCTAAGCGTCACACTAACGTACCCGCTATATTCAAGGCATAACGACGTTAAGAGATCCTATTTCCATTTCAGCCCATAGCCCACGAGTTCCTAACTAAAAAAAATAAAAACTAAATACACCCGATTCAAAGGAAACCCTTGGAAAAGAACCGTGGCCCAAAGAAAAACCAAGGGGAAATTGATACACTACTACAAAAGAAAATCTTTTTGTGTTTATTTATTTTATTTTATTTTTCTTCGACTTTAATCCCTCAAGGAACCTGTCAAATGATATCCATCGTCGGGACAAATCGAAATTCTTTTGAAAACTTTTGTTTTTTTTTTAAATATTAACTAGGAAACTACACTATTCTACAGACAACATACAACATACAAACAAGGTATCCCCCACCGCACACTTCAAATGATGGCATGTCCCCATGACACACAAAATAAAGAAATGCGAGGTAAAGGAATCTTTCCTGGTACATCAATCTTGATCGGAGACAGTGCTGGGGTCGAGATGGTACGCCCTCCCCAGCGCACGCAGCCAAGCCATGGTCTTCTTCTTCGATTTTGTATTTTCGATGGCCAGTGCATCAACTCGAGCCCCCAATTCTGTGACAGAAGTGCGCAACCCTGCCATTTCATGCTCTAAGGTTGTCACCCGGGTATTCCGTCTGACCACAGATGTTCTTTCGGCCTCTACAACTTGCTCGTGTGTGGGTGACTCAACCCCAACTTCATCCTTCCTTTCATCTCCCTCCTCTGGCGCATCAGAATCATTACTATTAGCACCGCCAGGTACCACAGGGTCCTTCCCAATGGTTACTTTATCTGCCCAGAACTTTGGTTCTTTCTTCACTCTTCCATCCATGCTCATGTTCTCCGGCAACCGTGCTGCCCGGCATAATCTAGTGACCAGGGAAGGAAAGAAGAACCCATACCTCTTCACTGGACAACGGATGAACATCTCGTCATGAATAACCTTGGCCATATCAAAATCGTGGCCATTCATGAAGCACCATATCAATGCAGCTCTGGGACCATTGACCTTAGTGGTGTTGGAGGAAGGCAGAAGGCGGCTATTGATGATATACAGCCAACACTTCCCTTCAAAGGTGAGTGAAGCCAAATGAAACTTCTTCCCTGGCATAATCCACACTACTTCCTTGTTGGGAACACATATTTTCCTAAAGAACAAATTCCACGTGGTTGATGCTCTGCCGTAGGTATCATAGTAGTCCTCCGCATTAGGATCTTCCCCAAACATTGGCAACCTGTAAGCTCTCCGAATGGCCTCTATGGATACGTCCACATTTTTCTTTCGCACCGTGCAAACATGGTTTACATGTTCCGGGATGTTCGCGTAAAACTTCCTCACAATCATCAAATTAGCTTTGTCCGATTCTTCAAAGAAGATATCCAGCCTGCGCCGGACCACTTCACGGTACATATTGGGATAGTCATTTTGGAGGGACCCCATATCAATTCCCTCTGGTATGGGTTTCTTGGATGCCTTTTGACCAAAACGTTCCCGAGTCGTGCTGGATACGAACTTGGTACTATCATATTGGCGAACATTAGCTGAAGCTCGTGGCCTAGATGATCCAGCGTGACCACTGGAGGACGCACCTGTGGTTCTTCATTTCTTGGATGGCGTCACACTACCTGAAACAAATATCACCATCAGCGAAAAACAAGATATGTGAACCAAGGGCAGTTACTCAGACTTCGCCCGCAGAATTGGTCACAAATTACATTCAAGACTCACTGTGGCATTTAAACAAACACTTGATGTGCACATTCACCCCAAATTTTCCAAACACCCAATTCGACCTCAATTCCATCACAAACTTAACAATGTCCAATCCAACTCAACAAAATCCACTATCCTCACATACCAACAAGTATATTAGCAACACAAAACATAGACAAGAACAATAATGACTTCTATTACCACACAATTAAAAGAGAAGAAGAAAGGAAAAAAATTGGAAAAACTAGAAAAAAAACTGAAGAAAAAGGAAAATAGAAGCCATGTCACTTACCTGATTTGTGAGGAATAGAGATTGGGAAGTGATTGAGTAGAGAAGAGGAGGAAAGAAAAGTGGGTTTTTTTGGGAATTGGCGAGAAAGGAGAATGATTTGCGTGTGTTGTGTTTTTTAGAGGGAGAGAAGGGTTTTCTTCTTTTGTTGCTTTCAGATTTTAGGGGGCGGTTATTAGTAGGCAAATAAAAAAACTAAAAACTAATTAAAAGAAAAGAAAATATAATAAACTTTAACTAAACCTAAAAATGATGCCCAGTGCGCGGCCGCGCACGTAGGGCAGTAAGGGTCACAAAATGTGTGGTCCATGTGCGGTCAATGCACGACCGCGGACGTTTGGCCTCCGAAATTTTCCCTTTTTGCCACTTGTTACCTATCTCCGGGTTGATTCCTTCACCCCGAGTCCTTCCGACGCACACAATTTCATCCCTGCACATTAATAGA